TATTTGTTTTATATAAGAAATTGAAAAGGCGTGTAACGTTTAATGTTGGAAATTAAACACTTGTAGTAAATGATTGAAATTTAACTTCAAATTGACTGCGAAAAAACTCGGATGTACAAAAGTGGGTTGGTAAGTTTTGAGACACACCTTGTATGTTTCGGAAATAAATCTATATCCTTTTCACACGAGCCGCGTAATTAGTGTGCCATCAGTTTTAAATCCGAAACAATACATCTATTTCTGAAAGAGTGGTATTATTGAAAGATTACACTTTCTTTCTCCGTGGCAAGCATACCGACAAACGCGAAATGGGTGTTGCATATGTATATTTGACGAAATACGTCGTTCATTACAATGCGCTTTTGTCTATGTGAAATTATACGTATATGCATCGCGTGTCTTCTTTTGAAGGATTTTTAAAAATGGACGTTTTATCTGTCCCGTCATCGCACCGCAACGTCGCTCGATCATTTTGACGAGTGTGTCATCTCGCAGCATCCTCGCGGCGATCCCAGAAATCGCAAATTGCAAACTGCGACATTGACGCCGTAATGGAGGTACCGTGTTCACTGTTATACCGTCTCCTCTAGAAAGCGTTAAACTTACTTATGTGCATTACGCGCGAAACCGTCGTCGCGCGGAACTCCGATGAATTTCGCGGCAGACGCGAAACGTTTCCTCGCGTAGACGAGAGAACTCGAGAGATGCGCAACGAGATGTGTAACGTTTGCATAAGCATACAGACGACGAATTCTTAAATGCATCTCCTCGCGTCGGAGCATACCGGAGCAAAATTAAATTTTTATACTTCTCCATTTATATATCAAATAATATATTATATTTCCTCTTTAGATTTTAATCAGGATATAAATTTGGATATAAATTCAAACATACACACAGTTATATCTCTTCGATATCCAACAAGATTATTTTGTTAAAATCGGATTTTGAAACCTAAAAGATATTTGTAATTAATTATTAAAAAGTTTTTCTCTCTCTCTCTCTCTCTCTCTCGAGCATTACCTTCTTAATTTTCTAAGCTGAAACAAAGTTATATATATTATTAATTACATTATTAATTACAACATAGAAATTAAATCTCTTGTTAAATTATATTATTTAATGTCAAATATATCATAATAATTTTGGCGTTTTTGGTTTGCAATTCGCAGAAAGAGTTCGACGTCAATCATACTCACCGACTCTCACGTTTTTATCGAAACTCATAAGATTTGCATTAGCGCGATGGTATTCTCAAATACATTTAGGTCGTTCCGGCTTTCATGTAGAGCTGTTTGTCCTGCGCGCAAAGGCCGGGGTGCTTTTACCCTAATTACATGAGCCTAATGAAGGAATAAAATCAGCGGTGAGAGCGAAAGAGAGCTCGAAAGGCAACATTCAACGAACGAATTTCCAAACGGATTACATCCGAATTTTTCTATAGTCTTTTGCATCCCTGATAAATTATATGTCGCGACATTTCCCGAATCGGATTCCGAAATAGGGATTCCCATTATTACTTGTCGGGGTTATCTTTGGGCTATCTTTTAAAAATACTGGCAGACGCAAAATCACGTTTCCGATATACCGGAAATAAAATACGAAATCGAGTTCCATTGTATCGAAAATTCTATGAAACTCTCTGTTTGTCGCGTTTCTATTTTACAGAGATATCAAATTATAAATCTCAAAACAAGCATTTTGATAAAATTGTTTTTTTAAATTAAAAATTGAAGTTTTATTATGTATTTAATTTTGTCTTATTCTACTTAAATTTTGCTTATTGTATCATATCGTATTTTTTTATTCTTTAGTACTATTTAACAAATTCATTCCGAATTTACTTATAATTTTTTAAAAATATTATTTAATTTATCTATTGCTTATTAATATTATTTTCCAAAAACTTATTTATTTTGTATTCAACAGAAAATGCTTTTATTACTTTTCTTTTACATTCTATCAAATGTAGTTATAACTTTCCCTCAAACTGGTTGTTACAAAGTCAAAGGTAGCGCAAACTTTGCCTCGCAAAATCGTATATCCGTATATGCGGCGAATAATCTAACTATGTTGTCGAATCGACAAATGAAAATTCTTTCGAACTCAATTGCACGTCCTATCCGAGGATCGTAGATTAGAATAATCGTTCGTCTTATTTTTGCATGCCAACTGGGTCGAACAGCTGCCGTCACCTCGAACTCGCCAGGTGTGTTTTCGCGACAAGCGGAATACTAACATTACTCATGCAACTCGTTTTAATACGTAGATTTTAAATATGTATATATCAAAATAATTTATATTTTATACTCATTTTGACGTTTACATAATTAAATCTTCAATAATTAAAATTAAATAACATTAATAACGTTAATTTCATGATATTACTTTTATAATCTTTTTTGTTACATTTGATTTTATGTAAATATATATGTTAAAATATTCTTATATAATAACATTCTTAGTTTAAATATTATTCCAATTAGGATTTAAATTAAACTTTAGTAAAATCTGAAATTTAAATTAAAATAATTAGAAACTTAGGATTTTTTAAATGTAATATATTTTCAATTCTTTAAAATATATGTCTATTTAGTTTTTATTAAGGAGAGCTCTGTTTTTCTACATATTGAGAACACTTTTTATAGAACTTTAAAATTCGAGACATTTTTCAGATTTATGTTTTGAAGTTCTAAGAATAGAAATTTGATTAATATGTCGATGCCAATACCGATCAAATATTATTTTTCGAGTTGACTGAAAGTTTTTAAGCGATTATATTAAACTTGGCAAATAAGGGTTGATATAGAATTCTCTCCATTCTTTATCGACAGCTAGCTTTTATCGCCAATAAATATCTTACATACGAACTGGATAGAATAAGAGGCGTGATACAATTCTGTTTACTGTCGTCATCTCGCGGAATCTCAAAATGTCAAACTATCGTACGTTTGTGTTTATTATACTAGGGTTTATTCTGCAATGTGTAAATCAAACACTTGCTTTAGAATTTTCCCGCTGAGGGTAAATGCGAGAGAAGATTGTTCTCATGTTGATAAAATTAAACTAACAATAAATTTCATCTGGATGACTATACAAATAGTTAATATATCAATCGAGTGTTGATTACTTTAATCGTCAACAGATTGATGAAATAAAGGGGTTGAATTATCGAAATTTATCAATGGACGACCTATCTCTGAGAAACTTTATTAGATGGCAGCTCCAATACTGTATGTACGTCACGTTGAGATTATGTTTTGACTGTGCAATACTTGTTTTCCCCGTTTGCCATACTGAGAAACGCATATAGTTGGAATAACCAAATTTTAGTTAACATAACAAAAATTATTTGTTTCTATACAAGCAAACAAATACTTTTGTTAGAAAAACAAAATAATTTTGTTGCAAGAATATGTAGGTATGTGGAACTAAATATTTTGTTTAAAAAAACAAAAAATCCAATTTAGCAATACCAAATACTGGGATTATTTGTTTGAACAAACAAAGCAAATTTGTATTTGCAAAAAACTCCAGGCCAGGAAAATAGATAAAGCAATTTTAAAATTTTGTAAAAAATTTTATTTGTAAAAATTAGTACAAAAAATGAAAGTTTTGTGTTTGCAAAATTTAGTACATCAGAGGCGGGAAAGATGTTTAACCAGTTGTGAAAAATGAACTTTTATCTTTTCAGCGTCGGTTGGCTCTTTAATTTTAAAAGCATCAACATGGGAATTATAATGTTTTCCATAATTTGTAAAGAATAGTATATTGTTTACCAAGAGGAAAAAGCTGCGTTTTTCAGACGAGTGTGAACCCATAAAGCACACATGTCCAAAAGCGTATGTCGCGTATGACCTTAGATGTCTAAAAGATATCTTATACGGTAATGTTCGATTTTTAAAAATGCCTATAGAGTGTGTGCGTTTAGTGTTTCATTCATACAGTTTGTACGTGCGTATCGTTAAAATAGAAAGAGAAAAAGAGAGCAATACGGGATTCAAGAGCGAAGCCTTTGGTTTGGGGTGGGATCCAGGAGCGAAGCCCCCACTTATCACAAAATTAAAATTTGAATGACAATAAAATCGAAAAAAAAATATTTTAATTTTTGCACTAAATCTGATTGACAATTTGGGATTTTATTTAGAGATTATGTAAATAAGTATATTTAGTTATATTATTATGCAGTGATATATTATTAAGAAAAAAACAGTTTCAAATCGATAGTCTTAATACAAATAATTTTTGAAATAGTAATTATTTTTTTATTTATAAAAATTAATATAATTACAATGAAAAAGTCTTATTAGTTAATGAATTTAATATTTACATTACAATTTTAAAATTAGAAGATTGGATTATTTCCTGGATTTTTGTATTTTAAATGTTGATTTAAATTCATCTTTAATCATAATGCAGTCGGAGCTTTTTGATGTTGATGCATTAACATTTATTCCAAGTTTCGATTGTTTTATTGGCGGTTCTTCGGACTCAGGATTTTGTTTTGCAATAGTTTCATGAAAATTTATTGATGATGTGATGATATTTGCAATATTCCTTTTATTGTTTATCAACTTTTTAATATATTCTGTAAATAAATTGTAAATTTTTATTCGTTTTAAATAAAATAGGACAATATTAATTTTAGTAACTATAATATTTGATATTCCGCCACACTGGTTGATTTCCAACCACCATGACGCTTGATGCTTGTTATACCTGCACCAGTATCAGCCAATAACGTCGCCGACGTCCTTCGGAAGCTATGACTGGTATACAATTTGGGTTCTAATAAATTCAAGTAACTTGCAATTTCTTTTGGCATTCTAGCGATTTTGTTTTTTCCTATAACTTGAGTCGTGCATTTTCCTTTTTAAAAATTCAAAAAGAATCGATTTGTAGTGGCATATTGTGGTCGCAGGGTCTCATATTTTTTAACAATTTCAGCGAATTTCCCTTCAATTGTGTACAATCGCGAAATCTTCGTTTTTGTATCTGGAATTCTTATGAGTAACAAAGAACCATGATGTTCAATATTTTCTACGTTAAGTTTTGTAAGTTCGTTTCCTCGGCAGGCTCCAGCAATGCCAATAATTAAAGCAACCTGTATAAAAAATAGTAAATGTATTTTGTTATATTGTTAGATATATATTATTTTTATATATTTTATAAATTTATATATTTTACTTTACCTTTGTTGCTAGATACTGATCATCTGGCACTTCATTTAAAAATTTTCGAATTTCATTTGAAGTAAAAACTTTTGATTTTTTGCTCTTAAAACCATTAGATTTTCTCTTGAGAAAAGCGGTCAATTTAGAATAACTATGAATATTGACGTTATGTTTAGTGATTAGGGTACTTTTCAGCATGGAATACTGACTCCACAGAGTCGACGGTTTTGTCTTCTTTGATAGCTTACTGATATAAGCCAGAAGCACATTTTCTGAGAATGAATTTATGTTTTTCTCTTTTCTCCAGTTCATGAAGGTTAGGTACGTGGTTTCATACCGGCTTTTTGATTTTGTCGATAACAGGTTCTGTTCGACATTTTTCGCTGCTTCAGCGATTTTTTCAGGTATGCCAAATACATCGTCACTTTCGCTATCACTCGAAACCATTTCTTGCTACACTTTTTTACTCGCGAATGTTTTGCGTTTTGTTTATCCGAGTTCCACGACAGCTTATAGCGAACTCGATTGAATGCACTAGTGCGCACTGCGCACATTAAGGGGATCCTGCAGTGACTGGCGAACTTCCTCGATGTCGATAATGTCAACCTTTCTAATTTTGTTTTCCTTATATCTGTCTTTGTCTAACGAAATGACATCTGTCCTTTTTTCGATTGCTCGCCATCTCTCGCAAAATCCGGCAACTACTGTCGCTGCTCTTCTTGTCATTTGCATCCGTATTTGCATTACTAAAATAATTTTTTGATGGATCTTTTTTTGTACGCATTGAATCTTACTTCTACTTGCACGATATTATTCCTACATGTTTTCCCAAGGGCAGATGATAAAAATTATGTATGTATAAACTGCAGAATTTTTGTTTTAAGCAAATATTGTCGTCAGGTGACAGCTGCGTATGTGCCGAAATAAGTAATATTTTTAATTTTTTGGTGTTTTTGATATAAAATCGCGCTTTCTACCCTAGATTTTTGTGCGTACTTTAATTCTAGACCAAAAACTTGCAATTCTGTAAAGCCAATTAAAAGATCCATCGAAAAAAGATAATGTCGGTAAATCATACGGCTGCAGGTACACAACTCAACTTAAAGTGTATTAGTCTGTTCGTTGTCGCTGCACTTCTGAACTAGTGCAATAAGGGTGCGTTCGGTTTGGACGCTCACGCGCTGTAAGCGCTCACGCTTATAAGCGCTGTCACCGACGAGATACTATTAAAGACCGACAACCCTGGGTAAATTTTCGTGACTGCCCGGGGGCCCGGTGGTAATTGAAGAATACTGACATTATCGACTGTTTTGGCTATTCGACTATTTCAAAGAAGGGAATTTTACCTTATATAATCACTGTTTTATCATCAGAAATGTACAAATCTTTTATCATCGATATATATATATATATATATATATATACAGGATGTAACAAAAAGGTCGGAACCCTGGATTATCTCGGAAAGTTGACGTTTTCGGAAGAAATGTTTTATACAAAAGTTGTTGGATCGAAGGGGCACGTAAGATGGTGCCATTGGTTTCACCTTGGATGATCGTTTAAAGCTCACGTGAACGACACCTTTAATTTCTTAAGTGGAAATCCCTATTTTTCAATGCATATTCTTGTAGCTAATCTCGAGAGCTTTTCAAAACACTATAATAAAGTATTTTTTCATTAAGAACTTTTGGAATTATAAGGCTTGAAAGTTCTAGTATTTTGACATAAAATACAAAATATCTTGTAAAAAATTAAGTTTTTGGTAATGTTACCTTAACACTTTTATGCACAGAATATAATGAGACGAATCAATTGGTATAAAAAAAGGCATATTTTCTTTAAGAAAAAATATGTAATTTGCAACACGCATCTGCATTCTTTTTCTTAAAAGCAACTATGTACGTCTTTTTTATATAGATATATAGAATAGAATCATTTATTTACTTCAGTTTACAATGCTATCGACGTCTGATCGACGTCGATCTGATTTGCTATTTCGATCTGGGAAAGCTGTAGACGCCATCGACGTCTGATCGATGTCGATCCGATTTACCATTTCCCTCTGGGAATTGCTTTTATGAAACATGTATATCAATTGCTAATTTAGTGTTAAATTATTTTATTATTTTATTATTGCACAAGGTATTGCAAGGCATAAAAACAGTGATTGCCACTTTTTCCATATAAGATTCGATATATACGTTATGTAAAAGATCCATCGATTAACGATAATGTCGGTAAATCATACGGCTGCAGGATCCCCTTAAGGAGGTTGATTGCCGTCACATTGCGGGGCAGGCGGCGAGAGGGGACAATTGCCAACTCTATAAGAATCAAATTTTTCGACGCGTGAAATAAACGAGTTTTAGCAAATAAACATTATATATAGAATGCATTTAATTAGCTGTTTCTTAAGGTTTTAAATCGTTCACACAGAAAAATATAAACTACCTGCAAGTTAATATTACTTGATTCAGGTATTTGATAAGTTCATATATGAACAAATCTACCATAAAGTCGTCATAAGTATCACATTTACTCAAAACATATTCTAGATCTTAGCAAGTTTAGTACTTGAAACAAGAATATTAAATTAATACGAACATTTTGTTTACTTACAATATAGAGTCCACGGAAGAGAAGCATATACTTCAATAAAGATATTACATTTTCTTGAGAGAAGTTTATCCGTTATTTGAATCAAGTAAAAATTTTATTCATCTAGAATAATCGTTTACTTCAAAAAAGAATTTGTATTCTTGATGATTACAATTAATATTATTTTTATTTTTTTAATTTTCTTTAATTCTTTAGTTCCTAAGTGGAATGTAGGTTAGGAGGTTTTCGTGCGCGGTGCGGAGGGGTAGTACTTACAGTTTAGAATATAAAAATTCTTGTTCTCAGGTGGACTTGAACCCGGTTCCTCGTGGTTATGAGTCTGACACTTTATCACTAGGCCACATCTCTGATTATATTCTTAGTGTTGCAGTATCTAGTTTTCACAGAAGTAATTTATTGATTTCAAGTATTTCATATTCTTAC